ATGTTATGTTGATGGTAAAATGATTTCAGTTTATTTCATCGAATTTTCATATAAAATTTTGCAAAATGCTTAATTTTGCATCGCAAATTAAAAGTAAACATATCGAAGGTGTTAATTAATATACAATGTAACAAAGTGTTACAAAATTCATCTCTAAACATTTCTAATAGTAATTGAATTAAATTTCATTCACTGGAAATCGTTATAATACAGTTCTGAAAGTGCGTAATGTTGACTATCTCTACAGACTGCAGGATTAATTTGTTTAGGGAAGGCTTTCATAAATCATGTATCGAATGCAGTTAAATTCGTACTTCAAAAAAATCTTAAATATTTGGCATTATTCTAATCTGCGAATTTTACAGTGTCATGGATTTGTCCCTCTTTAAACACCGTAACAATGTTATAAAACAACAATAATTCATAAGTGCAATTTTTTTACTCTTGCGAGATCAAATGAACTCGGAACTTCAAATAAATATTCTGGAAACCGAGCTGCATTGTTACTTATACTGTCTTTCGTAATCAGTACATTGCATTAACTGTACAACCTGTGTGATACCAATTCCACATATGGAACACCAAAAAAGTTAATTTTATTTTTGATGACAAATTTTACGCGATACATTCATGTCAAACAAGAATCAAAAGTATAGCAAAATAACGTTTTTGCGAACGTTTTTCAACGTTTTTTTATTATTTCGTTTATTTCGCCTCTAAAATGAGCAATCCTTCAACACCTCCAAAACATTGAAATAACAGCCCAGTTCAAGCAAGAAAATTTTTAGATTTCGCCACCTGGACAACGTTCGGAGGCAAGTACAGCTTAATACGTCGAAGGCTCGAATCGCCGGCCAGACGCTGTAGGCGACCCTGGGTTGGCAGCGAATCACCGGCGCGCGTTAACAGGGACGGAGCGTCGAGAGCTGTCGAAGGCAGCCCCTCAACGTCTGCGGATGTTGGTGCTCGCAAACTGTAGCAGGTCAACAAAGACAATCAGCGGTGCTCGCGGAGGCGAAGAGAATCAGCGCAATTTAATGGAAGTGCAGAAAAGCGGCGTGCAATCTGCAACTGATGGCAACTGCAGTGAAGAAAAAGGAACTAACGTAGAATCCCACGAGGATTGCAGTGCGCACCGGCAAAAGATGGCTTAGGGGCCTCAACTGATTGCACCTCCAGTGTCTCTGACTCGCGGGGTACAAGATTTTGATCCCGTTTGTGGCAGTACTTTTTGACACTAGCCACACAACTGGGTCGAATCAGCTGTAGAATGTTTACAATTCTCTTGATCAATGTTTTCGTCCAATTTCGCTTTTATGCTTGGATGCCCTTGAGTTGCTTATAACGTCCCACCCGTCGACCGGCGGTGGTTTACGCAGAATTCGAAGTAATGATTTGTTACTAAAACACTTTCTTTATACTTAGACAAAATACGTTTTTTATAATTATTGAAACGAATTCGAAAATAAAAAATGTTAATGAGAATTTTATTAATCTAAATATCATCGTATGCGTTTGCATTCTTTCAAAACCCTCACTCCAGGAACTAAACATGCCAACAAGTGTATTAGGAATAGTCCCAGTGTATAGCTTTTTCCAGGGTGGTTGAAAAGGTAAAATCAGCGCAGAAATAAGAAACGACAGAAGTTCATCTCTTCGAAAGTATAGTTATTTTGTGTGCCAAAAAAAACGACTCTCAAATCAATAACGACATCGTTACGATTCTAAATGGGAGACAAGTAAAACGTATTTCAGTCTGACACAGTTCTCTGACAAAATATGTGAGATCAACTTCCTTCATCCCCAGGATTTTAACAGACAAATTGCCTTCTATTCACTAAACTATAAAAACATTATCACTTTAATTAGAAATGTTAATTACGTCGAGATTGGCCAACGGTTATGAGATACAGCTTCTTTATTCGTTACATGAACAGCACCGCTAGGAATCTGTCAACCCAGGAAAAATGGTATAATGCTCGGATTAATTTTGAATTCTTCTGCCTCACAATGCCGTTCGGATTAATCGAAAATTGTTCCCACTTAAAGCTGAAATCGTAATTGCTTTTAAATAAGACGCAGGAGAAAAGAAAATAGAGCTGCTCTATTCCTACCATAAGCAGGCATTTTTCAAGTTTGAACTTATGTTGGTTTTCAAGATTAGGTATTTTAGTTTAACACCGTGCAATTTGTAGGATAATTACCATAATTTCTAATACTGGACTTTCAAGAAATGTGTTTATCTGCACTTATTTTTTATATGACTCGAACACAGCGACTAAGCTGAAAAATGATCTAATCACACTACCATATCGTTTTCCATTTCGATTATTTTTATGTCAAATATGTCACTCTTATAGATGAACCGCAAATCAGCTATGACGCACTTTGTTATGTCTCTACTACTCCATTTCACCACGATCCGCCAGGCATCGACCCACGTCAAGCAGTGTCAAAGGCATTGCGGTGGGCCGTAACGAGCCACAGCAGACCCGCTCCAGAGCCAGGAGATGAAAGTAGCTGCCTCAAAATGAGTAGATAAAGGTCGACAAAATCAGTTTCTACACAGCGCGATTAATACTAACAGATAAAATACGTCAATTCTGAATGCGGATATTTGAATCACTAGTTAGTGGCTAGATATTTGCAACTCTAGTTTGTCAACATTTCGTTAACCCCGAAGGGATCGCATGTGAAAATTTATACCCCAGGCTATATTATTTCATTTATAGATTTGATTTAAAACATTGTATACTCTTGTGACATTCAGTATCTTTACCTTAATTACCTGAAGAATTCATTACTCGACAAATGATTGCAATTTGTCAATGAGTTTTCAGAGACGTATTTCCTCTTACGTGTGTGTCTGAGATCGAAAGCGCCTTCATGTGTTAGAGTTGCGCAGCCACGCGGAGCT